TGGAGGGGAGGCCACTGAGGAAGCCCAGGGTTGCTTTGCAGAGGCAGGCAATGGCAAAACCACCTCTGTTCGCCTCTTGCTTTTGTCTGGCTGGCCCAATCTTGTCAGACCTCAGAAGCTAAGCAGGGCCGTCCCTGGTTAGTACTTGGATGGGAGACCAGTGAGGAAGCCCCAGGTCGCTAGGCAGAGGCAGGCAACCGCAAACCCACCTCTGTTCTTCTCTTGCTGTGAAACTCCCCTGCTCTTGCTGAGTCCGTTGCAACTTGACGACGCCAGTTGTTATTAGTGTGTCAAATGCTTCCTTCACTGTGGCTGGCTAGCTCAGCAGCTGTTCAGTCCTATGTTCTCAGTAGAGTCACACCCTTTCTATACCTGGTGAAGTCAGGGGGCTTAGACTGTTTTGACTCTGCTTGGGATAGTGCAGTATGGGTGCGGTCAGACGGCGTGCCGAAGCGGTTTAAACTGCTCCGGTTCTGGCCGGACTATATTTGATCCGGGCCAAGCGCGGTCACACGTACCTCTCTCACTGCGCAGCACATTGCTCCCAGGCGTCCACACTACAGGTGCGCAGCAGTGCATGTCGGGGATTTTAAAAAAAACATTTTTTCACAGTTTGCGCATGCGCAGAATAACGTATCCTGCCAAAGCAGCACAGTTTGCGCATGCGCAGAACAACGTATTCTGGCAAAGCAGGTCCTGAAGCAAACACTTCCCTTTAAACTTTTAAACCGAAACTGGCCTCCGTGAGGTCCCGGACTCGTCTAAAGGCTAAAACTAGGCACCATTTAAACTTTGGTTTTCGTAAGGCCGGGGCGAAGCTCCGCCAAAGCGCATATCGCCGACGCTAAAAAAAAAAAAAGTTTTCCAGGCGAAAAGCAGAAGTCTCGGGCAGCTTTCGAGCGGGGAACAGGAAGTGGCTCTACACCGGTGGAAGAGCGATCACACAGGAGAGAAATGCGGCTGGAACTGGCACAGCAGGAAAACACCACTTGGGGACCTGGTAGCAAAATACTCCGGTTTAAGGGGGTTTGGGACGGGGGGCAGATGTTGGCTGTGTGATCGCACATAAATAGTCCGTTTCTAACCGGCACGTATACCGGCTCAAATGACCCGTCTGAACACCCTATGAGTGGAAAAGAAGCTTTAAATCTTGTGGGGACTTTAGCAGTAAGGCCCAGGGCTGAAGGCGGGAAGTTTTGGGTCAATGTTAGGGGTGATCCTGTGGAAACCTTGTAGGATAGGACCCTTGGTAGTTTGGCATGCCCAGTGATCGGTAGACAGCGTGGAGGGTAGAATTGGCTGGGGGAAGTGGATTCTTAAGCTTCCTGCCATAATATGAGGAACTGAGAGACTGCGAGAGGTTTTGCTTTCCCCCCTGTTCCAGGGTGTGTATCCTTGGCTTGCCACAGGGACAAGCAAGCATTGGAGGAGTTGAAGAGGAAGGAAAGCAGGTTCTATTGCGATTGCTCTCCAGTAATCTAGAGTGGTGATCGTGTCGGTTCAAATCCCTGTCCCGCCACGAAGCTTGCTGTATGCCCTTGGGCCAGGTGTGCGCTCTGAGTCTCGCCTACCTCGCAGGGCTGCTGTGAGGATAAAATGAGGAAAGGGCAGCCTTGTGGCTTTGAGAAAGCCAATGTGAGAAGCGAGCCCTCGGAGGAGGGGCTGTTGGGGAGCTCACAGATTGCAACCGTTCAATTTGGCACTGTGGATCCAGCTTAAAATCCATGGGGTGGGACCGGCGAGACTGGCGTACAAATGGATGTGCTGTTGTGCGGTGGGGTTTCATCCCCCATGTGTGGAAGGGAGCAATTTATAAAGTTTGCCTTCCGTCAAGGAGGGCAGAGGGGGTGGGGCGTCTGTGTTATGTCGAGTGTTGAGGGTTCTCCATACCTACTAGTATGTGATGAAGGGTGCTTTGTTATCTCAAAATGCCCTGGAAATCTTGTTGGTTTCTCAGGCGCTACTGGATTCAAATCTAGCTCTCTTTTTTAAATTTATCTTTAAATGTATACCCCGCCCTCCCAGAAGGCTCAGGGCGGCTCACAAGGGGCACGAATGCCCAAGTTAAAACATTAAAACAGTACAGAATAATATAAAATACAATAAATACAACTTCACTGAAATTTACTTTACGGTGCTCCAAAGTTATTTAACTATAAAAGTTCAAGATGGGATTCTAAAATTATTAGCAGCAAGCCACAGTAATAACAATAAATATAGCAGCAACAATATACGTCCATACAGCGTTGACCTCTGCCAGGCACGTCTCGCACCCCCAATAGTCCCTGCTCTGAAGATGGTCAATTTGCGGGACTAATGAGGGGGGCATAGATAGAAAGATGGTGACATAATGATGATGGCGTAACGATGGTGGCGGCAGCGGCGGCTCCTACTCGAAAGCCTGGCGGAAGAGCTTCGTTTTATAGGCCCTGCGGAGCTGCACCAAGTCCCGCAGGGCCCAGATCTCTTCTGGGAGCTCTTCTGTTGCACACCAATACGATGAGCACTGTTCCCTCTAAGCTGAGTTAGTGTGAGCTAGCTCACAGTTTTTTAGACTCCGGCTCACAGATTTTTGTCCTAGCTCAGGAAGGAGGGCTCCAGAGCAAACTAATTTATGCAGTAGCCAAATTGCTCGCTCACAACTTTAATGCCAGTAGCTCACAAAGTAGAATTTTTTGCTCACAAGACTCCACGGCTTAGAGGGAACATTGACGATGACCCTCTGAAACTTAATTTACAATTTCTTTCTTTTTCTTTTACAAACTTCCAAACTGATATATTTTAACAACAAATAGTTCTCATGTACCTAGTTTAATTCCTAGTCTTTTACAATTTTACTATCGCTTTAATCTCAAACCTTATCCTATTATGACTAGCTTAATTTCCATTAATTTCTATCTTCTTTATCTTCAGCCATCTTTCCCCATCTTTCCCAAAAATTTTCTTCCGGCATATTTTGTAACTCTATATTCACTTAGTCAATTTCCACCATTTCCAATATCTTATACTTTAATTCCTTTATGGAGGGTAAATTATTAGATTTCCACTGTCTTGCTATCAAGATTCTTGCCACGGTTAATATATATATAAATATCTGCTTATGTCTTTTTATTGTATCCGGAGAAACTTAATTTACAATTTCTGTACTGATTTCTATCCCACCTTTCTCCCCAATGAGAACCCGTAGTGGCTTGCATCCTTCTTCTTCCCTCCATTTTATCCTCACAACAATCCTGCGAGGGGTAGGTGAGGCTGGGAGCCTGTGAGCGGGGGTTTGAACGTGTGTTTCCCAGACCCTACTCCGACACTTTAACCATTACACCTCGCTGGCCTTTGTCTCGTTTCCTGTGACATACAAATTCAGCTATGCAGTTTAACTTGAATGAATTCCCCACACCCCTATAAGTCTTATTGGGCTTAGAATCCCGGTTAGTGGAGGGAAAACTCTGTTAAGCGGTGCCCTTGAAGAGTTCTGTCACAGGTAACTGGAGCACAAACCCAGGATTCAGTTGTCACGCTCCCGTGTGAGAAAAGAAGGGAAAAGTTTTGTTCGTGCAGATTGGAAATGGTCTGAATACATGCACGTTCAGGTTCGGCGCCGACCTGATGGGACCAGTGTTCCCTCTAAGCTGAGTTAGTGTGAGCTAGCTCACAGTTTTTTAGCTTCCGGCTCACATCTTTCTGTCCTCGCTCAGGAAGGATGGCTCCAGAGCAAACTAATTGATGTAGTAGCCAAACTGCCGGCTCACAACTTTAATGCTCGCAGCTCACAAAGTAAAATTTTTGCTCACAAGACTCTACAGCTTAGAGGGACCATTGGATGTGACTCCAGAATATATTCAGATATGCCCTCTAGGTAGCCGTATATCAGGGAATGCAAATATTCAGTGCACTCTTTCGTCTCATGTTACCTAGTAAAATGGCCCACATCATTGCCAGTTAAAGACCAGACCCTACCCTATCTACTTGGCTATGCCTTAGGTGGGAAGGTCATGGTTCAGCGGCAGAGCCTCTGCTTGGCATGCGGAAGGTCCCAGGTTCAATCCCCGGCATCTCCACTTTAAAGGACCAGGCAGGAGGGGATGAGGAAGACCTTGATCTGAGACCCTGGCTCAGTGGCAGAGCCTCTGCTTGGCATGCAGGAGGTCCCAGGTTCAATCCCTGGCATCTCCAGTTAAAAGGACCAGGCAGGAGGGGATGGGAAAGACCTTGACCTGAGACCCCGGCTCAGTGGCAGAGCCTCTGCTTGGCATGCAGAAGGTCTGAGGTTCAATCCCCGGCATCTCCAGTTAAAAGGACCAGGCAGGAGGTGATGGGAAAGACCTTGACCTGAGACCCTGGCTCAGTGGCAGAGCCTCTGCTTGGCATGCAGGAGGCCCCAGGTTCAATCCCTGGCATCTCCAGCTAAAAGGACCAGGCAGGAGGGGATGGGAAAGATCTTGACCTGAGACCCTGGCTCAGTAGCAGAGCCTCTGCTTGGCATGCAGAAGGTCCCAGGTTCAATCCCCGATATCCCTAATTAAAATGATCAGGCAGGAGGTGATGGGAAAGACCTCTGCCTGAAGCCCTGTTGAGCCGCTGCCAGTCTGAATAGACAATACTGACCTTGATGGACCGAGGGTCTGATTCAGTAGAAGGCAGCTTCATGTATGTTCATGTTCTTAGGGTCAGGAGAAGACTTCTGTATATGGAAAGAGAGCCTACCGGTAGCCATCTTTGTCTCCCTCTGACCCATTTTGGTGTAGTGGTTAGGAGTGCGGACTCTAATCTGGGAGAACCGGGTTTGATTCCCCACTTCTTCTCTACATGCAGCTGCTGGTGCGACCATGGGTCAGTCACAAGTTCCCTCAGAGCTGTTGTCTCACAAGCAGTCCTCGAAAGAGCTCTCTCAGCCCCACCTCCCTCACAGGGTGTCTGTTGTGCGGACAGGAGGGGAAAGGAGATTATAAGCAGCTCTGAGACTCCTGGTGAATCCAATCTCTTGTCTTCCTTTCTCTCTCCCCAGCTCTTTGTGGTCCCCTCTGGCAGCCCCTCACGAGGGGCACGTGGTCACCGAAACGCAACTTGCGGCTTTGCTGGACTCGGCGCTAAACAACGGGCCCCATAACGTGCTGCTGCTACTTCAGGACAAAGTGAGTATTTGTTGTTGGTCCTCTGGCCGGTCCCCTCACGACTTAATAGGATGCCTACAATTTGTTTTTTAACGTAGTTTAACTTTTAATGTAAGCCAGCCTGAGCCTGCCTTGGTGGGGTGCGGGCAGGATATAAATTGAATTACATAAATAATATAAACTAGTTGAACAGCAACATCTTCTTCCTGGGACCCCTTCTCTTGTAAAAGCTCTGAGAACCTCGGCCTAAAGCCTGGGTCCCTCCACCAGTGTAGAGTTCCAAGGGTTCCTTGGTTGGCAGTTAAGCCCAACGACTTGCCTGCCAGGTTGCCCTGGGATCGCTAATCGTCTCGTCCGGATGGATTTGGTCACGTGTGGTTCTGAACTGAGCCAATCAAGAGCCAGTTTGGTGTAGTGGTTGGGAGCGCGGACTCTAATCTGGGAGAACCGGGTTCGATTCCCCACTCTTCCACATGCAGCTGCTGGTGTGACCTTGGGCCAGTCACAAGTTCTCTCAGAGCTGTTCTCGCAGGAGCAGTCCTCGGGAGAGCTCTCTCAGCCCCACTTACCTCACAGGGTGCCTGTTGTGGGGAGGGGAAGGGGAAGGAGATTGTAAGCCGCTCTGAGACTCCTTCGGGTAGTGAAGGGCGGGGTAGAAATCCCATCCCTTCTCTTCTCTCTAAATTCTCCTTTCCTGCCCTGATTCAGGAGGTCTCCCGGGAACAACCCTCCTCCAAACTGCATGGCTTCTTGATCAGATTTGTTGTCCAGGGATGTTTCTGCAGCCCCTTTGAGGGTTCGGGACCACGGCTTTTAGTGCAGAATGTCAGCTACGCTGCCATGAGCGTGGAGATGTTTTCTATTTGCTTTGCATTCCTTCCCATGCGCTTAATTGCTTCAGAGCTGTAACGCTTATCTTTGATGTTGTACTGGGGGAGAATGTGGTGTCTGTCGTCCGTGGGAGCTTCTCCGTTCCCAGCTTTGCAACCGTTAGAGAGTCCAGCAGTCTCCCGCGCGTGAGAGCACACCTAATTGGTGATTGCTGGGGGGTGTGTGCATACGAATGCCCTATATCCTATTATGCACACAGGTATCCCGCCATTCCTAACAGTGTTCGTGTTATCGCATCTATGGCTTTTCAGTAAAAGTAAAACCTTCCTGGAAGACTGTACTTCGTTGCTTAGCTGCGGGCCCTGACACAGAAGGGGAAACGCAGAGTTTCCGCTCTCTTCCGTACCCACACGGGAGTCAGTGAAGGAGACGCCGCTTCTTTTCCTTGGTCATGTGAGCGGGAGGCATGACTTTACATGTATCACTTCCTCATTTTCTTTCTCCTGCCTCGGAAGTTTCCTTTGCTCATCCCCGGGCGTGGTGATGGAAAGGAATTGTTTGGCTTTTGTATTAACTCTTTGTTGACATAGGATGTGGGACGGGGTCTAGATCTGGTGGCCAGCAGAGCAAACCGTTCCACCGTTAAGGCTTTAAAACCAGTGCTTTAAAAGGCTAACGAAACGTTTCCTCTCTCAGCTCAGCGTTGAGGATTTCACCGCCTACGGAGGGGTTTTTGGCAACAAGCCAGACAGCGCCTTCCCCAATCTGGAGGTAAGAAATAATGAGTGGTGTGCCAGCGTGAATCATTGATTCCCGCCACCCGCATAGATGATTGTACTTCCCGATGGGCCACCACATCTCAGGGAACTGTCAAGAGAGCAAGTAGAAGGGGAGGAACTTGGAGCATGGTCATGAGTTCGAATTCCTGCCCGACCAACTGCAGTTCTTTCCCGTCCCTTCTCTTTCCGAGGCATGCATTGTCTGCCACAAAAAAACCGCCTTGTTCCTTCACTTGTAAGTCTTTTTATGCAATACATTTTATTGAATAATTGAATAATCATAACAGGTTGTATACCATTCAGACCTAGATATATACACATTTGAGTGAGTTGTGAACATTAGCAATACAATCAACGACAATTTATGTGAAATAAAAATGTAGTGATGCATAGAAATTTGTAAATGTGATACTGAACTTAAACACACATATAAAGCTTTAAGTCTTGTGGCAGCAGAAGGGTAGAGGCTCAAAATCCCAAGCCAGACTCAAAACCGTGGTTTAGTTCAGCCAACTATAGGTAGTGTGTCTGAACTCAGGCTGCCTCAGTGGCTACAGTTAGTTGGGATCCACCAAACCAAGATCTGTTAACCACAGCCGGTGGCAGTGTCATAGAAATTTGTAAATGTGATACTGAACTGAAACACACACATAAAGCTTTAAGTCTTGTGGCAGCGGAAGGGTAGAGGCTCAAAATCCCAAACCAGACTTCACCCAAAACCGTGGTTTTAGTTCAGCCAACTATAGGTAGTGTGACTGAACTCAGGCTACCTCAGTGGCTACAGTTAGTTGGGATCCGGTGGCAGTGCTATGTATCGCTTATTGTACGTAGGATCCTACTTAACATGGTCTCTGTACCGCATAGTGTGTACCGCATATGTGATGCTTCAGTTCTTTCTGGTGATTCCAGACTTCTCAAATCCTAATCCATGGGCTACTGAATGTCCCGTTGTGCTGACTGGACTGACTCCCAATGTGTCATCCGCCCTGAGGCCCTGTGAGAAAGGGGGACAATAAGTAACGTAAATAAAATAAAAATAAGCCATATTTAGCCATAAGCACTGCCCATTGACGCGATCAGGGCAAGGGGAGAGCATTTGCTTCCCTTTCTTCTTGCGGCATCTTCCGGGTGGAAAAACTCCCATCCACAACTCGCTTTTATCCCTGTGGGAAAAAAGCTTCCAGAACCGAAAAGTGCGGTAAAAGAACGAAGGATGTGAGAAAAACGCGATCAGGGCAAGGGGAGAGCATTTGCTCCCCTTTCTTCTTGCAGCATCTTCCGGCCGGAAAAACTCCCACCCACAACTCGCTTTTATCCCTGTGGGGGGGAAAGCTTCCAGAGCCCAAAGTGAGGTAAAAGACCGAAGGTTGTGAGAAAAGGGAAGATTAAGACATTTTGCACATTTTAAATGTTTCAAGAGCCAGTTTGGTGTCGTGGTTAAGTGCGCGGACTCTAATCTGGGAGAACTGGGTTTGGTTCCCCACTCCTCCACTTGCACCTGGCTGGATGACCTTGGGCAAGCCCATAGCTCTCATAAGAGCTGTTTCTGTCAAGAGCTCTCTCAGCCCCACCTGCCTCACAGGGTGTCTGTTGTGGGGAGGGGAAGGGAAAGGAGTTTGCAAGCCGCTCTGAGACTCCTTTGGGTAGTGAAGGGCAGGGTATAAATCCAATCTCTTCTTCTTCTTCTTTTACCTCACAGGGTGTCTGTGGTGGGGAGGGGAAGGGAAAGGAGTTTGTAAGCCGCTCTGAGACACCTTTGGGTAGTGAAGGGCGGGGTATAAATCCAATCTCTTCTTCTTTTACCTCACAGGGCATCTGTTGTGGGGAGGGGAAGGGAAAGGAGTTTGTAAGCCGCTCTGAGACTCCTTTGGGTAGTGAAGGGCAGGATATAAATCCAATCTCTTCTTCTTTTACCTCACAGGGCATCTGTTGTGGGGAGGGGAAGGGAAAGGAGTTCGTAAGCCGCTCTGAGACTCCTTTGGGGAGTGAAGGGCGGGTATAAATCCAATCTCTTCTTCTTCTTTTACCTCACAGGGTGTCTGTGGTGGGGAGGGGAAGGGAAAGGAGTTTGTAAGCCGCTCTGAGACTCCTTTGGGTAGTGAAGGGCGGGGTATAAATCCAATCTCCTCCTCCTCAATGGATGACAGTAACTAGTGGTAAAACGTTAAGTTCTTCACTTGTGTATTTCTGGACACTGAGGAGGGCAACTCAGACAGCAGGGTATACTTAAAGGCTACAGTTGTTACTCCAGGGACAGAATTCAGAATCAGACGTGAAATTCCTCATCGCTAGGCTTGACGCCAGCCGCGATGTCTGCTTCCACGCAGCATCAGAAGCTCCGGATTGACCAGTGTTCCTTCTCGTTCTCCCCGCTACTGATTAGAGCAGTTCACACCTGGAGCGGAATATGACTGCTGTCATCTTTAGATGGGCAATGGGCAGTGCGAGACCCTGCGGGGCTCCAGACTGCCGCTGAGCGGGGCTTCTTGGGTTAATGAGCGGCCGCTCACCCCCACAGCTTCGAGGGAACACTGGTCAGCCTGCCCCGTGTGGCAGCCTGAAAGCCCATCGTGTCCTGATCTTGGAAGCTAGGCAGAATCGGCCCCGGTTAGTACTTGGATGGGAGACCGGCAAGGAAGCACAGGGTCGCTACGCAGAGGCAGGCAACGGCAAAACCATCCCCGTTCGCTTCTTGCTGTGAAAACCCTACAGGGCCGCCAGAAATCAGCTGCGCCTTGTTGGGGGGGGGATAAAGGCACGTTACAAACAGTGCGAGTCCCCTCTTCTCAGCTACAAAATTAGCGATCATATGAAAAGAGCCGTCTGGGGCCCTCTGTGGAGCTCCACCCAACCTGCCGTTTGAAGTGTGTGACTCGGTCTCCCTCCCTCCCTGTCTGCCCGCCAGAACGCCTTGGCCGCGGCTCCGTCTTCCTTGGTGCTGCCTTCAGTCGACTGGTTCGCCGCCGACGCCGTCCCCGCTTTCTTGAAAGCCAAGCTGGGCATCGCGCCCCTCCACGTGGCTCAGAACACCCTGCAGCAGCTGAAGCTCAACGCCAGCCTCCCCGCCCTGCTGTTGGTACGGCTGCCGTACACTACCGGGTGGGTATCCCCCCCCGCAGCACCGCTCTTTGCATTGTCGTGGCTTGTACTCCTCTCCTTCTGTGTCCCTCCCTCCCTCTGTCTGTCCGTCTCTCCCTCTCTCGGTGCAAACAAGGCTCATGCAATCTTGGGGTGTACCAACAGAGGCCTAACATCCAAATCGCAAGATGTGATAGTCCCGCTGTACACTGCATTGATCAGGCCACGCCTGGAGTCTTGTGTGCAGTTCTGGAGCAGGTCTCACTTCAAAAAGGATGTGGGCCGAATGGAGCGGGCACAGAGGAGAGCGAGGAGGAGGATCGGGGGCATGCACGTACACCTTCTTCCCCGACTCCTTCGCCTGGTGTCATTTTATGAGGCAACTGAACAGCTGCCCCCTTGACCGGCTTGAGCCAGCGCGAGAGCCCAGTTTGGTGGAGCGGCGAAGAGCGGGGACTCTAATCTGGGAGAACCGGGTTCGATTCCCCACGCCTCCCCATGCAGCCGCTGGTGTGACCTTGGGTCAGTCACAAGTTCTCTCGGAGCTGTTCTCTCAAGAGCAGTCCTCAGAAGAGCTCTCTCAGCCCCACCTGCCTCACAGGGTGTCTGTTGCGGGGAGGGGAAGGAGACTGTAAGCCGCTCTGAGACTCCAAGCGAAAGGCGGGGTAAAAATCCAATCTCTTAGTGAAGGGCAGGGTATAAATCCAATCTCTTCTTCTTCTTTTACCTCACAGGGTGTCTGTGGTGGGGAGGGGAAGGGAGAGGAGTTTTTCAGCCGCTCTGAGACTCCTTCGGGTAGTGAAGGGTGGGGTATAAATCCAATCTCTTCTTCTTTTACCTCACAGGGTGCCTGTTGTGGGGAGGGGAAGGGAAAGGAGTTTGTCAGCCGCTCTGAGACACCTTTAGGTAGTGACGAGTGGGGTATAAATCCAATCTCTTCTTCTTCTGAGAGGACTTGTGACTGACCCAAGGTCACGCCAGCAGCTGCACATGGAGGAGTGGGGAACCAGACCCGGTTCTCCCAGATTAGAGTCTGTGCTCCTAACCACTACGCCAAAAATAACAAATCTAGCTTTCTACATACACTCAGATACGTAAGAGACATACCGCTTACAGCCACGTTATGTTGGTGCAGTGTGAGATTCCTGGGCACCCCTTCGTGATGGTGGAGGCAGGCCATCCTGGTAAAAGGATTCCTTGAGGCGCGTTGATGTGTGCATGCACGTAAACCTTCTACCCCGACTCCTTCGCCTGGTGTCATTGTATGAGGCAACTGAACAGCTGCCCCCTTGACTGGCTTGAGCCAGTGCGAGAGCCCAGTTTGGTGGAGCGGCGAAGAGCGGGGACTCTAATCTGGGAGAACCGGGTTCGATTCCCCACTGATGGCACCAAAGGAAGTTCTCACCAGCAACGGTGAGTCAACAGCCACAGAATCTGTCCCTACGTCGCGTAGGGAGGCCAGGCTGAGTGGCCTCTCCCTGACAGAGAACGCCAATTGGGATGTTGCTCTTGGGGTCGTGTTCCGCTACCTCAGGGAGTTTGGTCTCGTGTAGAACTTTCTGGAACAGGCGCTTGTCACCTGACGGGCTAACCCTCTGCCTGTCACGACGTGAGCCCCGACGGTCAAGTGTTGATTACCCGAGAAGGGGCGGCCTCCCTGTCAGGATGTGAGTAGGGAAGTTCTGCAGGGACTTCGTGTTGTGGAATTGGGGCTGGATTGAGTGTCAGTCCCCTGCTAAAACTCCGCAAACCCCCTGATGCACCTAGAATACTTTAATATCTATAGTAATTAGCCCATGTACTTGAAACCTTGGTTCTGTTTTGCTCCCAGGAAGCTTCAGGCGTGTGCCGTGTGCCGCCTTCACTGGACAAGACTTCGCCTCGTGTGACTTCTGCTTGCTGGGCATGTTTATATTTTGCACCAGTCAGAAGTCACTATCAGATTCTAAATAGATAAAGAGTATCAGAAACTAGCTTCCTCGATTCTGTGAGTCACCCTAGCTTAACCCAGCTTCCCTTGACTTTCCTGACCCCAGAGATAGAAAGAAAGGGGCTGACTTTGTTGTATGTGTCCTATATGTGTCAAATGCTCGTCACAGACTTGATTGACAGTTACATTCATAAGAACATAAGAGACGCCAATTTTGGATCAGGCCAAAGGCCCATCCAGTCCAACACTCTGTATCACACAGTGGCCAAAAATACCAGGTGCCCTCAGGAGGTCCAGCAGCGGGGCCAGAACTCCAGAAGCCCTCCCACTGCCCCCCCAAGCCCCAAGAAACAGAGCATCCCTTGCCCCAGACTGAGAGTTCCTATCTATACCTTGTGGCTAATAGCCACTGATGCACCTCTGCTCCATATGCTTACCTAATTCCCTTTTGAAGCTGTCCATGCTTGTAGCCGCCACCACTTCCTTTGGCAGTGAATTCCATGTGCTAATCACTCTTTGGGTGAAGATTCGCTTCAGTGGGTGAAAGAGGGTACCTTAATGTCTGATTTTAGTCTTGTTCCTGGTTGTTCTGATCAACTACCCCTCCGTGGGTCTTGGCCAAGCAACCAAGGATATCCTTTATCGAATCACAAGTGCACTATTTATGAATTGGGGAAACGATGCTGAATAGTGAAATGCTACGAAAAGGTTTTCTGACTTAAGAATGCGTAATGGCATAAATTCCATCTCGATTTAGAACAGAGGCGGCCAAACTTGCTTAACGTAAGAGCCACACAGCACAAACGCTAGATGTTTGAGAGCCGCAAGACATGAATAGATATTACACACATGTTTTTATTGGAAAATATGCAAATTTGCTTTTTTATTAACATTAAATGAGATTGCGTGAAAGAGCCACATGTGGCTCCCAAGATGCAGTTTGGCCACCCCTGATTTAGAACGTCTGTCTCTCGTGTCTCTCTGCAATTGGGAAGCCAACTTCTCTCCCTCCCCAAAATGAACATAGGGGCAATGAGGGTGCATGCAAAGGGTCCCTCATTTCCCCAGCAGTTTGCAAGGAAGAGGAGTGATGTCGGACTCCTGCAGCGATCAGTCCCCAACAGCTTTCATTCAAAGAAAGTTTATTGAGACATTGAGAGTATGCAGATACCTTAACCATTCTGTGTTAGAACTGGAGGAAAGCGCGCGCAGCAAACAGATATACATTATTCGAGGAGGCCCCCTGATGGCCCAGGGCCAATCAGGGATCAGATAGAGGCCTGCCAAAGTAACGGGCAACTTTTCCCAAGAGAGAGACTACACCAGGCACTGAAGGTCATAGAGAGATAATCGAAACGCAGGAGACGCAGCGGAAATGAAACTTAACATCCCAGAGTCACCCCCACTCCTATGGCAGCCAGGGCTTGAGAAAGGCCTAGCTGACAAGTGAAGAGCGGATAGACGGGGGAGGGCTGGAGTCTGCGGGGCAGGCGGTGGCGCTGCCGGATTGGGGCAGAAGGTCGCTCGTGGGCTCCCTGGTGCCGCGGCTGGGGCCCGGGTGCGGAGGTTGTCTGTCCTTTTCCTAACAACCTTTCTCCATGCAGATGAGATCCTGGGGCAGGTTCTGAGCGCCCTCCAGTCGGAGGACATCCCCTACACAGCCATCCTCACGGCGCTGCGGCCCTCGCGGGTACGTACCCCTCCTGAGACGCTCGTTCTACCTCCATGAAAGTCCTGCTCTGTGCTCCCGGTTCTGGAAACACGCCCAACTGACATGTCGCTTCATCCGTTTTATTAATGCCATTTGTATCTACTTTCTGGTCCGAAAGAGACCGCTTGTGGCAGAGGTCCCCAACACGGTGCCCTTGGGCGCCACCCCTGCAGTGCAGCTCCCTCCAAGCCGCGGAGTCTCGTGAGCAGAAATTCTGCTTTGTGTGCGCTGCCAGCATGAACGTTGTGAGCGAGCGATTGGGCTTCTGCATCTGGAGCCCTCCCCCCTGAGCCGAGACCAGAATGTGTGAGCCAGAGGCTAAAAAAACACCTGTCAGCTACCACACACTAACTCAGCTTAGAGGGAACACTGCTCTGGAGCCCTCCTTCCCGAGCAAAGACAAAAATCTGTGAGCCGGAGGCTGAAAAAACTGTGAGCTAGCTCACACTCACTCAGTCTTAGCGGAAGCACTGCTCTGGAGCCCTCCTTCCTGAGCGAAGACCAAAATAATGAGCCGGAGGATGAAAAAACTGTGAGCCAGCTCACACTAACTCAGTCTTAGAGGGAACACTGCTCTGGAGCCCTCCTTCCTGAGCGAAGACCAAAATGTGTGTGCTGGAGGCTAAAGAACTGTGAGTTGGCTCACACTAACTCAGCTTAGAGGGAACACACGGTGCCCAGCCACCACCTTTCCTGACGCCCGCCAAGTGTTTTTTGGAAGTGGGCAGGGACAGGTAGGGCGTTTGCCAAACGAGGCTTCTGATTGGCTACACCGCTCGCAGGGTTGTTGTGAGGCTAAAGCGGAGGACAATGTCAGCTGCTTTGCGTCTGCAGGGAACACTGCTCTGGAGCCCTCCTCCTTCCTGAGCGAAGACCAAACTGTGTGAGCCGGAGGCTAACTGGTGAGCTGGAGGAAACTACCTCAGCTTAGAGGGAACACACCGTGCCCGGCCAGCACCTTTCCTGGCGCCCGCCGAGTGTTTTTCGGAAGTGGGCGGGGACAGGTAGGGCTTTTGCGAGGCTTCTGATTGGCTACACCGCTCGGAGGGTTGTTGTGAGGGTATAGCAGAGGACAATGTCAGCTGCTTTGCGTCTGCACCGGGGAGGCACGTGGGATATAAATCTAGTTGGTTAACTAATTAGTGTGGGATGACTGGACAGGTGCATTCCATTAAGTAAATTAGGATGGGAGTAAATTAAGTAAAATAATATACAATCATAAAATCATAGAGTCGGAAGGGACCTCCAGGGTCCCCTAGTCCAACCCCCTGCGCAATGCAGGGAATTCACAAATACCTCCGTGCCCACACACCCCCAGGGACCATGCCCAGAAGATGACAAAAAACCCTCCAGGATCCCCGTCCAAAATGGCCTGGAGAAAATTGCTGCCTGACCCCCGAAGTGGTGATCGGCCTTTCCCTGGGCGTGTAAGAAAGGGGCCACGAGAACTAAGCCCCGAGGCAACCCTTCCTGCCCTCCCTCTTGTGATCGGCCTCAGTTCAGAGGGCCATCTCGCCTCTGTTTGAAAACCTCCAGAGCCCACCGCCTCAAAAGGATGTTCGATCCAGTGACCTCTCTTCGTAATGCCTTCGCAAGAAGCTTTTGCTATAAATGCATCTGATGAAGTCAAGGAACTCCCGTTCGGTTTTTGCTGCCACAGACCGACATGGCTGACTGTTGGGTGATAGTGAGATATTGAAAAAATGGTATTTAGCAGAGATAATATAGCCCAGCAGAGCCTGAGTAAAGTAATTCAGACTGAGAGTCCATGTGTGATTAAAATATAAAGTTCTTACTAAATTCTAGCATGGGGAAGGGTAACTGGGATGAAAATAACAAAAGTGCATAATCGGCTACATCCTTACACTACAAAGACAAAACTAGAAGAGAGATTATGGCGGCTCTTCTTCTTGAGAACACCAAACAAAGACGGGAAGAGGAGCCATGAAATGGTAATATACCTTGACACTTTAGTCCCAATCAAATCCCTAGATCAGGGAGAAAATTCCCGGGCATCCTACATCTAAAGAACATTGGTTACATGAGAAACATGTGACTTCCTGTGAGTAACATAAACAAACATTTAACCCCAGATATACTGAGTGTTTTCAACTTGTAATATCCAACACTGACCACTTGTAATCCCGGAGCTGACTTCATTTATGGGATTTTTTTTTTTTTAACGCACCTCCCCAGTTAGAGCAAAATGTTTCCCCCGGAGCTGTGAGTATAAGATCCAGCCAGTCCCGTCACTTTAATGGTAGCCTGCTTTTCTCACTGATACTCAGGGTGGATGGCAGAACACGAAACAATACAGTCGGGCACCCAAAGACATTCAGCGGGCAATGCAGTAGGCTATTATCTTGCCGGTACCGCGATGAGACTGGGCTTGACATTTGACCAATACAAAATACTACGTGACCACCAAGCCTAGCCACAGTTTGTGGACCTTCCGCAGGGTGGCACGCTAACCTCTCCCAAGCTTATATCTTTGCCCCTCCCCTCCCTGCCCAGGTTGCCCGGGACGTCTCTGACTTGGCCCCCGAGAAGGTGGGTCGGCAGCTGCTCCAGAAGGACGAGACGCTTTCCCCACTTCAGTACCCAAAAACCGGGACCCCCCAAATGCTCTTCTGGGCCAGCAACTTCTCCGTGGCCTTCAATGACACGTGGCACGAACTCACAAATCTCACATTTGGGAACAACACCTCCGTCAACGTGGACGGTTCCAAGTCTGCTCCGGATGCTTCTCTGTGAGTTGGGGGGGGGGGAGTTAATAGCCGTAAAGTGGCCCTTCGCAGAAATGAACACAGGGAAGTCTGATGTGATCCAACAGTTCACGTGTCGGGAGGGTGTGTGTGTTAGAGGTGAACTGACAGTGAAGCTGGGGGCGTGAAGAACATAAGAACATAAGAGACGCCAGTGTTGGATCAGGCCAAAGGCCCAACCAGTCCAACACTCTGTGTCACACAGTGGCCAGAAATACCAGGTGCCATCAGGAGGTCCACCAGTGGGGATTCTTGGGGGAGTGTAAACTCTGGCCCGAATAAAAGGCCGAATATTCTGCCCTGATTATTCTGCCCCGAATAAGTTTACGAATGTCGTCCCCGCGGCCTGATCGTTAGAAGCTGTTCTCTGCTTCCTCTCTGGCTTCTAGGATCTCGTCTCTAGAATGGCTCACACGGTCGCAGTCTTGCCTCTACAGCAGGGGCACCCGCTAACGCCTTTCCTAGTGCCTGCCGAATGTTTTTTAGGGAGTGGATGGTGCTAGGTAGGGCTTTGGCCCAGCCGATGTTTCCTTTCTTTTTTTTAAAAAAACACCCTCATGTGTGCATTTGTGCGCACCTGGAAGCAATGGTGACCTCTGGTGACTGACCCGTACTGGGGGCCTGGAGGATATTCAGAGAGGGGGCTGAATGAAGCCTGCCCTTGTCCCCCCCACCTCTGGTGTTTCAAGGAGGTCTCCTACCCAAGCACTTGCCAGAGTCAGCCCTGCTTAGCTTCCGAGATCTGACGAGAGCGGGCTCGCCTGGAATATCCAGGGCAGGGCTTTTCTGGTGACTCTTGGGGTTGTTGTTTTTGTATTTCTCATATGTGCATGTGTGTGGGTGCCTGCTTGTGAGCGCGTGTGTGCACCTGGGAGTCACGGCGACCTCTGGTGACTGACCCCTACTGGGCACCTGGAGGATATTCAGAGAGGGGGCTGAGGAAAGCCTGCCCCCCGCCTCCCGCCTCTAGTATTCCAAGGAAGTCTCCCACCCAAGGACTTGCCAGAGTCGACCCCTGTGTCGCGGTAGAGCCAGGGAGGCAGGCAGACAGGGGGAGTCGCAATACAAGTCTAAAGGTCAGCCGGGAGAGCAGTCAGCACAGCATTAAACAAGTCCCAAAACGCCAGACAAAGCCGTAGTCAAACGTTACCAGAGGTCAGAGTACAGGGAGCAAAGCCGAGGGCGTGGTCAGGTTCAAAGCTGGAAGTCAGGAGCCAGAGCAGTCCAAACACAAGCCGAGTCCAAAAGCCACAGAGTCAAACAGGAATCAAGGCGCAGAGCTTCTGGTTCTACGAAGGAGGGAGGTTGCCAGCACAACTTGTTCATGGCCAGAGGCCCTACTAAATAGTGCTCTGGCCCATTAACTCATTAGCACCTTTGTGCGAGGTCCTGGCTGCTGTTAAAACTCAGGGCTCAAGGATCTCCGCCCTCTTGAACGTGCTTCTTTTCGTCGGCTAGCCAGCTCCGATCCCTAAGCCTACGTACAGGTGGGGGAGATGCAGGTGGTGAGCTGCTTATGGCCTGCTCAATCCCAGGTGCAAACCGTCCTGTAGTTGACTCAGATTGCTGTGTATCCTCCTCAGTACTTACAGTAGGTGCAGATCCTGATGCTTCTTCAGCTCTTAAAGGCACTGAGTCCTCCCCTCTTAGGCTGTCAGGAGCTGGCTCTGGGGCTGAGTCAAGGGCAGGCATGACACTCTGCTTCGCTTCCCAGATCCGACGGGATCGAGCTCGCCTGGAATACCCAGGGTCAGGGTTCCCAGCAAGGTTTCTGATGGACTATTGGAGATTTGACCGGCTGTGTATGGTGTTGCTTTGGCAGCAGCTGCCACCACAGCACAAGAATCTGCACGGCGTGACTGATAGTTAAGCTGTGGCCACTGTGTTGTGGCTGGCTCTGCCTCCCGTGGCAGCCATTTTGTGGCTGGCCCCCCCCCCCCCCCGTGTGGCAGGGGCCACTGTTAACCTAAAAAAAAAAAAAAAAAAGGTTGGGACCTCTGCTCTGCAGTCTCCCGGGCCTGAAACAACAACTCTGGTTTTCAGGGTGAATTCGGTTCATTTTGGGGCCAAATACTAAATTCTGCCTTGCGGAGTTGAATGATAGCATACACAGAGAACCCGGGTGGGGTGGGGGTAGATTCGGTCGAGCGTGGCTTTCAGAAAGTGGGGCGTGAGAAGGGAAGTCTACCCAGAAGAACGTTGTATAATCTGGGGCTGACGGCAACCTGCGGCTTCACCGTTGTCTCTTCTGACGTATTCTCCCTGTTTCAGGTTGGAGATGAAGTATGCAAACGTGGGCGGGAGTCCCTTGACAGTCAGGTATGTGTTTTTGACGAGAGCCCCTTCTTATCCTGTTCTAATTCCAAGACATATAATTCCCCAGCCGTTTATTCTTCTCAAGTCTGTGGAAATAATGACCTGGGTTGGTGTTCTCTCCGCAGCAGGGCTGGGTTCTGTTCCCCGGCCCTAGCCCAGGTTTTGAGATGAATCCCTTCCCAGCTCTAACGTGACCTGAAATTTCTATCACGTTTTCCAGCAGTTGGAGAGGGGGGCGGTGGGTGGTGCACAGGACCAAGCAGTGTGGTCAGGGCTATTTTGGGGCAGGAACGCATAGGAACGGAGTTCCGGCTGGCTCCCAAGTTGGCCACGCCCAGCAGGAACTCATTAACATAATAGGCCACACCCAACAGCAGAAACCCATTAGGATTGGCTACAATTAGGGGGTGTGGCCTGACATGCAAAGGAGTTCCTGCTACAAAAAAAGGCCCTGGGTTTTGACAACAAAGAAGGTAAAGAGAATAAGAAGCAAAAGGTGGGTGTGGCTGGATGACCACACTTCTGGTAACATGGGGGTGTGGCCTAATATGCGAATGAGCTGTGTGGTCAGGGATGTGGCCTAATATGCTAATGCGTTCCTGCTGTTGGGTATGGCCTATTATGCTAATGCGTTCCTGCTGGGCTTTTTCTACAAAAAAAGCCCTGAGTGTGGTTAATATTTAGAAGGCTAGGTGGTGCTGGGGACCCCCCCCCCCCCCAATTTCAGACTCTTGACTCCTAACCAGCGTTCCCTCTAAGCTGAGTTAGGGTGAGCCAGCTCACAGTTTTTTAGCCTCTGGCTCACACATTTCTGCCTCCGCTCAGAAAGGAGGGCTCCGGAACAAACTAATTTGTGCAGCCGCCCAACTGCCACCTCACAGCTTGAATGCCAGCAGCTCGCCAAGGAGAATTTTTGCTCAGGAGTGTCAGGTTCCACAGCAAGTCACTCTCCACACACGTTTCTCAAGAAGCGTTATGCTTTATTAGTGTACAAGACTGGTACCAGGTCCACAGGATTATTGTTAGGAATAACTAGAAGGCGGGGACATCCCAATACATATAGCTGGGCAAGGCAATTAGCTAAGCAAATGAACTTCGAGTGCGCGCTTTGCGGGAAGACTCCCAGCGGGTGATTACACAATGAGCGGGAGAGTCCCATGGTTTCCCGAGAGCAGAAAGATTCACACCAAATGTGGACCCCCAAGCCCTCCCTTATGCACAAGGCCAGACTGATAACGGCGTCTAGCTCCCACGGCCTCCCTGGCAGTGTTCCCTCTAAGCTGAGTTAGTGTGAGCTAGCTCACAGTTTTCTAGCCTCCGGATCACACATTTTTGTCTCGGCTCAGGGAGGAGGGCTCCAGAGCAAACTAATTGATGCAGCAGCCAAATCTCTCGCTCACAGCTTCAATGCCAGTAGCTCACAAAGTAGAATTTTTGCTCACGAGACTCCACAGCTTAGAGGGAACATTGCAGTCCCTGGCATGTTTACGGCAAGCTGCTGAGCTGCAAGCAAGGCGGGAAGAGGGAAGGGCAGACTACACAGATATGGCAGCTAGTGGACAAGGAGACTCCACAGCTTAGAGGGAACATTGCTCCTAACCCTCCATGAATTTATAGACAGGGTTCTGCGTCTTTTTGGAGTACAAAAGGAACAGCCTGTGGCAGGGGTGTCAAATACAAGGCCAGTGGCCAGAGCCGGACCATGCAGGGCGCTTTCCCGACCCGCAAGCAGCCGGTGGGAGGGAGGGAAGACAGGAGGCTGCTGGGAGGGGGGAGCGTGTGTGTGTGGCCAAAGCTGTCAAGAAATAGAAAGGACATGGCTGGGGCACGACCAGGGCTCTTTTTGTAGAAAAAGCCCAGCAGGAACTCATTAGCATAACAGGGCACACCCAGCAGCAGGAACTCATTAGCATAATAGGCCACACCCCTGAGAGCACAGCTCATTGGCATATTAGGCCACACCCCCATGTTACCAGAAGTGTGCCCATCCAGCCACACCCACCTTTTGCTTCTTATTCTGTTTACCTTGTTTGTTGTCAAAACCCAGGGCCTTTTTTTGTAGCAGGGGCTCCTTTGCATGTTAGGCCACACACCCCGAATGTAGCCAATCCTAATGAGTTCCTGCTGTTGGGTGTGGCCTGTTATGCTAATGAGCTCCTGCTGGGCGTGGCCAACTCGGGAGCCAGCCGGAACTCCGTTCCTGTGCGTTCCTGCCCAAAAATAGCCCTGGGCAAGACTATGAGGCTGAAGTAAAATAGTGGGGGGGGAGCGGGGGAATGGCAGCGCAGACGAAGAAAGAGTAGGCATGGTGTGTAGTAACCGGGGGTGGTGGTTATTTTTTTTTTAGTTGGCAAATGTAGTTAGTTCTTAGCAGGAGCCCAAGGTTGGGTTCCTGAGCCTGACCTGCAGGCTATTAGTTGGTTACTTAGCCTGACTCTGGGGAAAGGGGGGTCAGGTGAGCCTGGTGAAGCCTAATTGGCACTTAGTGCCGGTGGTCAGAGCTCCAGTCTGGTTAAAATGGAAGTTCTCCTTTAATTGGTTTGGACTTTCAAGTTTCCTGGAGGCTGAAGGGGGTGGGTGGGGGTTGGGGGTCTTTTTTGAAGAAACCTCGACTCTGCCTGATGGACTGAGCTTGTAGAGGTGCACCCTGGTTGACTGCTGTAAATGGATCGCTGGGGTTATACGATATGCAAGGTAAATTAGATAGCGGCTGAACCATTGTCTTCTTTTGGTGCACGGAATACTGGTACTGCTTTGCCCCGAAATAAACCATTTTGCTACCTACAGGTGTGGTGGGGGCAGGCTTCCCAAGTGCTTCCCGTGATTCGGCGGGGGACACAGACGTCCTCGCAGGATCATTCGTGCGGGGACAACAGACGCGCTGCACCATGCCACCGCCAGGAAGTGATGCCGGGCGACGCTCTGGCAATGGGGCTGGAAACTCGATGGTACCATCGAGTTTTCGGTCCCATTGCCAGAGCGTTCCTGGCAATGGCATCGTGCGTTACAGGGAGGAATG